TAGTATAGAAAGCTCAAGGTAAAAACTAACAACTAGGATACCCAGTAACCCAAGTATAAAAAGGCCTCTCTTTTTGGTATTGGGTAACTTTATAAGGAACCTAGGACTACAAAAAGGGAATAAGGGTACTACTGGGCATCCTAGACAATGCCTGCCTCATGCCTGCCTGCCTGGCTGCCTACCCGCCTGCTTGCCTTGCCGGCCTACATCAGAGAGTAGGCCGGCAAGCAGGCAGGCAGTTCAGTCGATAGGTAGGTTTAACATGGGAGTTTCCGAAAATTAGGGGTACCTTATTTTGGGGTCTTTATAATAAGGATCCTACTATTTAGGGTACCATATTAGGGTCCCCAATTTTCGGGAACTCCCACATACGTCTGCATTGAAATGCTATGCCTGTGCAGTTATGAAACTATAAACAACGTGATCATCTGGATGGTGCTGATGGGTTACCTGAAACCCTAAGCCCTGTAAGCCTTGCAAGCTTGTCATTTTGTCTCCCCTGCCAGCTCGTTTCTTGGACCTGACGCTGCAACCAGCGCCACTCTCGCACGCTTTGCGTCGAGAGCGGTCCACCAGTGAGCACAGAAGTGGAAAAAAAGGCCGAAGGTCTAAAACAAGGTCATCAGCCTTTGCCCGAAAAGTTGGGATCCAGAACAGGACACTCCTCGTTATAGCCTAAGCCCTTAACCCTTCACCCCAAACCAACGACCTAAAGTCCTACGGTTGATGATATAAAGCCTGCATTACCAAGAAGGACCCTAAACTATGGGAATTACGATATATTCCTTATTATGGGTAGTGCAGGATTTATATCATCAACCCTATGCCACGAGCTCACACGTTTTGGGGTCCAAGTTCGCCAGCGTCTCCTTGAGGCCCGCCTGCCAGGTTCATGTGGGTGGTTGTCAAAATTCAAAGGAGAAAAGGAGGGACCCTTAATGGGGACCCCGACGCTACAATCGAATGGTCCAAAACCCTAAACCCGCCAAACTCGAAACCCTAATTCGGAACCCTCCACTCAAAGGGGAAAAGGAGAGACCCTTAATGGGGATCCGGGATCCCTATAAGGGGCTATATAATGGGCATATACTAGCTATATCAAGGGAAGAAACCTAGGGGTCCTTATTAAGGGTCCACCCTTTTACCCTTGGAAAAATTATGGTCCCTTTTTGGGTATCCTAAATATTAGGTGCCGTATTATAATAGGGGCCAAAAAACGGTACCATAATTTTGACCATCACCCATGTGTGTTGATAGAGGTTTTGGGGGTTTCGGGGTTTGGGTTTAGGGTTCAGCGTTAAGGGGTTTGGGATTTAGGGTTCAAGCTTTGCCCTGACTTTTTCGGGGTACTTCAAATCATAGGGTTTCTGAGACCCAAGAGACCCAAGTGCCCTCCCTAAGAGGTTGCTGACCCTCCTGAGGAGATGCCTGGACCATTAGAGTAGGCACCCCTTCAAGGCTCATGGGTGATGTAAGGTTCAGAGCTTAGGGTTGAGGGTCGGGGGACTTACTAAGTAGTGATTTTAGAGAGTTATAAGTACCATAACCCCAATTAGGGTCAGGGTACTTATAAGTCTACTTATTACCTACTTTCTAAGTCCCCCGACCTTCCAAGTAGGGTTGAGGGTCGGAGGGTTTAAGGGCTTGAGCGTTTAGGGTTTGAGCGTCTAGGGTTAGGGTTTAGGGTTGAGGGTTTGGGGTATACGGTATAATTTAAGTTTGGAGGCTTTAGGGACCCATTAACGGATCGAAGCAATCTTCCAAAGATCCAAAATTGGGAAGCGAGGCGTTTCAGTTTCAACTTCAGTGTTAACGGATCTGAAAAATCCAGCACGAAACGGGTATCCTACCAGCATATTGATAACAAACTGAAGTTTTCGACGGTTCAACGTGTTGGGTCCTCAGAGCAAACGGTACCACCCAGAAAACCCAATACCCCTTCATTGAGCAATACACACAAAATCGTAGAAGCCTTCATAAAACGATTTGACACATGTGCCTTGGTGAAGGGCCATTGGTTCCTCCCCCCTCCCTGATACCTAAATCCCCAACCTTCAACCTTCCCACCCCTCTCCCCCCTAAACCCTCAACCCCAAACCCTAAAACCCTAAAATCCTAAACCCCAAACACCAGAAGCCTAAACCCTAAAACCCGAAACCCCAAAAGCCCAAACTCGAAAACTTTAACCACAAACCCCAAACGCCGAAACCCGAAAAGCCTAAACCCTAAACCACACATACCCCAAACCCTAGCAGCCCAAGCCCCACAAGCCTAAACCCTAAACCCTAGAGACAGGCCCCCCAAAAGCACATAACACAAAAAATAGGATAGTGATATCGCATATTGGAGTTTTCGAAAATAGGGGACCCTAACATATTACCCTAAATAGTAGGATCCTTATTATAAGGACCCCAAAATAAGGTACCCCTATTTTCGGAAACTCCCATATAAACCCCCTTATGATGGAGACCAATAAGGTCCGGATATCCCTATAAAATGCTTATGCTTCTGTCCTTTTTTGGGTCCCTCGCTAAACCCTAAACCGGGTCCCTCAAGAGACTCCTATATCCCTTAATTAAGGAATATTCCTTAAATGATATTAAGGATCCTACTATAATTTAAGGTATATTCCTTAATTCAGGGGTATTGGAGTCTCTAAACCCTAAACCCAAAACCCTCCCTAAACCCCAAACCCTAAACCGGGTGGGTCCCTCAAGAGACTCCAATGTCCCTTAATTAAGGAATATTCCTTAAATCAGATTAAGGATCCTACTATAATTTGAAGTATATTCCTTAATTCAGGGGTATTGGAGTCTCTAAACCCTAAACCCAAAACCCTCCCTAAACCCCAAACCCTAAACCGGGTGGGTCCCTCAAGAGACTCCAATGTCCCTTAATTAAGGAATATTCCTTAAATCAGATTAAGGATCCTACTATAATTTGAAGTATATTCCTTAATCTAGACCCAAGAGTAACCTAGGAAGAAAAAGGGTGCCCTTTTTGGTTTAAATGGGCTTATAAGGGAACCTGAACCCTCAAAAAAGGGAATAAGGGCCTACTCTGGATCCTAGTCCTTAATTCAGGGGTATTGGAGTCCCTGGGTCCCTCAGGAGACTGGGATGCCTGGGACGCAGGGTTTCGGAAGGAGGCCAGCATGGCGCTCGTAGCCCTCATGGTCGCCTGCGGGGGGGGGGGGGGGTGGGTGGGGGCTCTTTTCTATACTGAAGTTAGAACTCTAGCAACAATTGTATTTTTCGCTATTTCTTAGGGATTATACCCCCTAAGTTTTTACAGGGAGGGGATTCAGGGTTCCTTTGAGGGATCTATATGGATTCCTTTAGGGCTCTTTTATAAGGGATCTATAATTAGGGACCTTTGGGTTTTGGGGGTTTGGGTTTTTTAGGGTTAGAAGGAGCTTCTTCGGGTTTACAGGGTTAAGGTGTTCAGGGGTTAACGTGTTCCGAGTTTACTATACTGAACTTAGAACCCTAGCAAAAATTATAATTTTAGCTGTTTCTTAGGGGTTATAACAAGCAAAAATTAAGAATTATCTCCAAGTACCCCTAAGTTTAGGGCTTTTTCTTGGATGTTTAACGTTTGATGGTGTTTCGGGTTTAGATGATTTCGGCTTTAGGGTGTTCATGATTTGGGGTGTTTAGGCTTTAGTCTCTTTAGGGCTTAGGGCTGAGGCTGTTTAGGGCTGAAGGTGTTTAAGGTGTCTAGGCTTCAGGGTGTTAAGGGCTTAGGGTGTTTTTGGGTTTAGAGTTTTATAGAAAGTGTATAGGGTTTGGGTGCGGAGTTTGCTTTTGTGTTTTGTTTGGGCCAAATGCAAGGCTTCTTAGTTGAAGGGTCTTGGAATCCCTAACCCTGAACCCGAAATCCTAAACTGTTGTCTTCAAACCAACACTTGAGGTTAAGCCGGAACCTGCCATTGCCACGGCAAGTACGACTGGCAGTCAAGTGTGCGCCAGTATTAGCACTGGTGGTAATGCTCCATTGCTCCTCCTCGTCCTTTCCCTCCTCCCACGGCAAACACCACCGCCAGCAAGAACACAAAGAACACAAGCATCCTTACCTAAGTGCTCCTGAAGCCAGGCTTGGATCTCTTCTGCTCGGTCTCTGGGTATTACCCTGTTGCCCTTTGTATTTTAGAGTCTCCTCATCAAAACCGAATGGTAGGAACAAGCGTATCCTTATTATTCAGGGGCCACTGGGGAACCGAGTCTAGAACCCTCTACTTGGAGGGTCGGGGGACTTAGTAAGTAGGTAGGAAGTAGACTTATAAGTACCCTAAAAGGGACCCTATTCTTAGTTGTTGAGTTCATAGACAATTCAAAAGTGTACACTTTCTGCTTTAACGTGGGTAATATTATCCCAAAAAGTGTAAAGTGTATCCACTCGGCTACTAACTAATTGGGGTTAAGTCTCTCTAAAATAACTACTTAGTAAGTCCTCTAGAAATAACTACTTAGTAAGTCCCCCGACCCTCAACCCTAAGCTCTAAACCTTACATCACCCTTATTACATTAAATGAAGGTATTAAAAAACTACAAAATGCTTTACAAATCATCCGAATGCTACAAAAAGAGGGACCCTACTTGGGGTGAAGTCCCCAACCCTCCAACTGGGTTGGCCTTTAACCTCCGTCCTAAACCGGGTTTAGGGTTTGGGGGTTTAGGGGTTTAGGGGTTTAGGGGTTTAGGGTTTAGGGTTTAAGGGTTTACGGGTTAAGGGGTTTAGGGTTTAGGCTTTTGGGTTTAGGGGTTTAGGGACGAAAGGCAGCTTGAAAAAGCAGCCATGCAGCATCTTTTGGCGTCTTTGGGATCGAGGTGGGTGCAATATAGCGCCGTGAGTGAGTGGACTAGGGCTTGGGGGTACATCGTAGTTTAGTTGCACAGTTTCAGCGTCAGCCTTCGCATATCCGCTCCAAAATTCTACGACGATGAAACCCAAAACCCAAAACCCACGGTCCTTTTCCTTGGACGCAGCGACACCCATTATTAGTTTCGAAGCCCGCAATACACAGCCTGCTCACGCCTAAGGCAGCGGCAGTCCATGGCATCCGACTCAACGTCATGCCAGTTGCGCCAAGAAAACAGGAGTATTACTTGCGCCACAAGGAAAAGTATGGTGAGACAGAAGATAGCTAGCTGAGTTGGAGAGTAGAATAATGCAAGTGAGATGAGGGAGGACCATGCTAGTCCGCCACAGAAGGAGCTATACGCATAAGCGATCGGGCAGCAAAGAAAGGCAAGAACAAGCTGAAGGGGGCCCTCACCATAAGACAAAACGAACTTGATCATGCGCAGGAGGACCGGAAAGGTGAGCGGAAAAGCTGTGAGGATGCAAAGAGCCCATCCACCAGCTTGGAGAGCCTATACTGAACTTAGAACCCTAGCAAAAATATAATTTTAGCCGTTTCTTAGGGATTATAATCAAAAATTAAAAATTGTTTCTAAGTACCCCTAAGGAGCCATGTATTCGGCAACAGAGCCGCACCCGGACAGGCGTGCAGTCTGCTCACACGGCCCATTCTCGCAAGCCAAGACACTCCTTACCATCTCTTGTTGTTCTCCTCCTTTCTGAAAAGGTTTTCGGCAAGTCTCCTAGCAAGGTGTTGCTGCAACTAAAAAAGAAAAGATACTGTGCTCCATCCCAGGTTCACAGAGCTGTAAAAAATCATGGGTAGCGAAGCCGCTAGACACATTGGAAAAGGCACGTGGAGCTCATCGCCGATCTGGGCCATCACAAACTTGCGTACGGTTCCCCGGACGTAATCATTGAAGCGGTCTAAGGGATCATAGCACGCAGAGGAAGGCGAGTCGGGTGGCATAAACCTGGGCTGACTGCTAGAAAGTTTAAGCTCTAGGGCTTTCAGATTAGGATCTTGCATTTCGGGTTTAGGCTGTTGCAGCCGCTTCGAAGGAGCTCACGGAAGGCTCGACGTATCAAAGTCATGAAGACCATGTCCCTATGTAGAGGTTTCACCCCGGACTAGAAGTCCAAACACATACTACGTAGTACCACGATAACGGAGACTTTGATGGATTGTGGCTTCCTGAAGAGGGTGTTAACTACGTGTACCTTATTTGGGTCCTTGGACCCTTAATACCCAGGGCCAAAACACCTGGGAATGTAGATCTCACCAGTGTCGTCGGAATCAGACGACAGGATTTTAGCAGGCACATCGCTGAAGAGATCTTTCACCTGATGCTCTATGACATCGCGATCTGACGAAAGGGTGCACTCCGCAGCGCGCACATCGAACGTGGCCATCTGGTCCAGCATGGCTTTGTGCCCTCGAAGCTTCGTGCGGAAGGAGAAGAAGCTAGGCATGGAGACTGGCAGATAGATAGTGCCGGAGATCATCCAGATAATGAACATGGTGGCAAATGTGAGCATCGCGGGGTTCTTGCCCAGCACCGACCTACTGTTCAGCTGCAGGCCACGGGCTGTCACAACACCGTTTTGTTAGGAGTTCAACGGAAGATCTACAGAAAGTTATTTGGGCTTGTTGGTCCAGGGTTTTAAAGCGGAACATCTGTGCAAAGATCCCTTTGCTGAGGAAAGTCTAATGGCTCTATGTGAAGCGTGATGTGACTCGCCCATGTAGCACTCCAGCTCGGAAAAACGTGCTCCAAGAGCTCCAAGATGCTCGCGGTCATCAGATCCAACCTATGCTGAACTTAGAACCCTAGCAAAAATCATGATTTTAGCGGTTTCTTAGGGATTATAGTAACCAAAAATTAAAACATATTTCTAAGTACCCCTAAGCAACCGTCTTCGGGACAAGCTACGACCCGAATCTGTACAACACAGGGCCGCAGGGGGATCCTGGAAACAGTGGCCCTACTTGGAGGGTTGGAGGACTTAGTAAGTAGGTAACAAGTAGAGTTGTAAGTACCCTAAATGGGATCCTAATTGGGGTTATGGTACTCATACTGTTGATGATATAAATCCTGCATTACCCAAAATAAAGAAGATACCATAATTCCCATAGTTTAGGGTCCTCAAGGTAATGCAGGATTTCTATCATCAACCGTACCTCCATAAAATACCCAGTTACTAAGTCCCCCGACCCTGCAAGTAGGTTTAAAACCTAAACCGAACAGCAGTCGAGGAGCAGGACAGAGAGTAGCAGCCACGGAGCGAGCCACAAAGGAACAAAGTCCAACCTTGGAGGGTCGGGGGACTTACTAAAGTAGTTGTTCTTATGGATCTTTGAGGGGATTTGGGGTTTAGGGCTTACTTGGAGGGTCGGGGGACTTACGAAGTACCTTTTTTCGAGAGTTATCCGCACCATAACCCCAATGAGGGTCCCTTTTCGGGTACTCATACCTCTGCTTATTACTGACTTACTAAGTCCCCCGACCCTCCAAGACCTGGGTCCCGCTTCGGGGTCTCAAAGCATCAGAGGCTCCAAGTGGGGCTGTCTGGGGATTGAAGATTGCAGGTCCTGGGGTTTAGTTCCTTTAAAGGGGTCTATAAGGGTTCCTTTAAACGGATCTATAGTAGGGTTCTAGAATATAGAGGCCTTCATAATGAGAAGAGGGTTTTTGGGGTATGTTATACTATAACTATAATAAGGAACCCCCAAAACCTTATTTGGTACTTGCTTGTCCAGTATCATGGGGAACTAAAGGTTAACCTTTGGGATTATATAGGGATTATAGTACCCCAAAAAGGTTAAAGGTCACCTACTCCACTACTAAGTTAGGGTTTAAGGTTTACGGGAGGATTTCGGATTGAGGGTGCGGGTGTCTGCTTGGAGGGTCGGCGGACTTACTAAGTAGTTATTTTAGAGAGTTATAAGTACCACAAGCCCCATTAGGGTCCCTTTTAGGGTACTTATAAGTCTACTTCTTACCTACTTACTAAGTCCCCCGACCCTCCAAGTAGCAAGTGAACTGAGCTCGGATTTCCATGTTTCAAGCACGGGGGCCCCGAGCTATGCCCACTCTGTCCGTCACAGCTCGGGCCCACCTCCCGACCTTAAATCCAAAGCCTTCAAAAACCTTTAATCTAGGGGCCTTAGTAATTGGAAGAGGGCTTCGGGTTCCATTATACTATAGTTATAATAAGGAACACCCACCATAATATTGGTAATTATTTAGGCCCCTATAGTAGACCCTAAAACTTTCACTCTATCAGAACCCAAGGCCCTGAACAACAACGCTTCACCCTGAACCTATGACTCTTATGACTCTATGATAACCCCTAAATGCCCTATGAATTGTAATCTCCCGCACCCTGACCAGCCCAGAACCCAAGCTGATGGGAGGCCAAAGGGGGGGTTTCAGATTCTGGGGGTAGGGATTCCTTAATATGAACCCTATATTATGGGAACCCTAATCCCTACTAAACCCCCATAGGCTAAAACCCCTTTTGGCCTCCTATGACAAGCAGCTTCTCGGCTCCGCAGCGGCGCACAAAGGTCGCAAGCTCAAGGTTGCACCAGAGACCTGGGGGGGGGCCCAGGGTGCTAGCCAGTCCCGGCCCTTTTAGGGCTGCAGGGCTACGGCTCTTAGGGAGTTTAGGGTGTAGGGTTTAGGGCGTATTGGGGGGTGTCCGGGCTTCAGGTTTTGGGGCAAGGGTCCTAGAGAAGAATGGCCACCTACAGCCTTCATTCTGACACCTGCATCGAGGACCAGCAAATCCAAGGGTAAAAGGAGGGACGACCCTTAATAAGGACTCCTAGGTATATACCCTTCATATAGCTAGCATATACCCATTCTATAGCCTAGACCCAAGAGTAACCTAGGAATAAAAAGGGTGCCCTTTTTGGTTTAAAGGGACTTATAAGGGAACCTGAACCCTGAAAAAAGGAATAAGGGCCTACTCTGGGTCCTAGTAGCCCATTATAGGGTAGGGGTCCCCGCTCGCAGTCCCTCCTTGTCCCCTTTGATTTAAAGGACTGGCAGGTAGATTTCCTAAGCCCTTACTTGGAGGGTCGGGGCACTTAGTAAGTAGATAATAAGTAGATCTATAAGTACCCTAAAAGGGACCCTAATTGAGGTTATTGTACTTATAACTCTCCAAAATAACTACTTAGTAAGTCCCCCGACCCTCCAAGTAAGCCTAAACCTTCTAAGTCCCAGAGCCGGCGTACCCCCTACTTGGAGGGTCGGGGGACTTAGTAAGTGGCTATTTTTATGGATCCTTAAGGGGTTCCTTAAGGGGCTCCTTAAAGGGATCTATAGGGGTTTAGGGTTTAGGGTTTAGGCTCTACTTGGAGGGTCGGGGAATTTATTCAGTAGCTATTTTATAGAGTTATAAGCACCATAACCCCAACTAGGGTCCCTTCTAGGGTGCCTATAACTCTACTTGTTACCTACTTACTAAGTCTTCCGACCCTCCAAGTACGGTAGACCATCGGAACTGTGGAACACCCTAAAAGCCGGTGAGGTGCTTAGGGTGTAATATAGGGGCCTGAATAATTGCCAAGTCTAATTTAGGGGATTCCTTATTGTAATTATAGTATACTGGGGCCCGAAACCCTATTCTAGTTATTAGTTGCGCTCCGTAGCCTGATCTCGGAGCCAGGCTTCAAATCTCGGTGACAAGTCCAGGGCAGGGCTGGAGCCCCACCAAAAAGAATGGATGTCGCACTGCTTGCAAAGGTTGAACGGTTGATGATATAAATCCTGCATTACCCATAATAAGGAATATGCCATCATTCCCATAGTTTAGGGTCCTTAAGGTAATGCAGGATTTCTATCATCAACCGAAGTAGCCTCCCCAAGACTACAATAAACCCTGAAAGCCTCTTTGCAGCTGAAGCGCGGGAAAAGTATTAGTAAATAAGATCCTCTTAAGCCCAATAAAAGAAAATATAAAATGTCCCAAAGCCCTACCTAGCTCTTTGCAGCTGAAGGCGCGGGAAAAGTAAGTATCGTCCCAGAGGATGAGCATGCGCGAGGAATGCGCCACGAAGGTCGGGAGTGCTGCTATCCTAGGATACCCAGTAACCTAAGAATAAAAAGACTACTAGGGTTCCTTTAAAGGGGTCCTTTGAAAAGGCTACTATAAGGGATCTACAAGGGTACCAGAATATACTATTACTAGGATACCCAGTAACCTAAGAATAAAAAGGCCTCTCTTTTTGGTATTGGGTAACTTTATAAGGAACCTAGGACTACAAAAAGGGAATAAGGGTACTACTGGGCATCCTAGCTTCTTTAGGATCCTACTATATAGTTTAGAAGCTGCCTCGACCCTGTAATAGTGACCATATGGATTATATATAGGATTATATTAGGGCCCTATTATATTCCTCTTATACCACTATTACTGGGCATCCTAGTATCTGTTCTGCCTTCCGCGCCATGTCTGTCTGATGAACCTCAGCCAGTGGGCTGAGCCATGTAGGAGTTCCCGAAAATTAGGGGCTCCTTTAAAGGGTTACTATTATAAGGGCTCCTTTAAAGGGATCTATAGGAGTTCTATAAAGGGTTTAGGGTTTAGAGTTTCCGAAAATTAGGGGTACCTTATTTTGGGGGGTCATTATTGTAAGGATCCTACTATTTGGGGTACTATATTAGGGTCCCCTATTTTCGGAAACTCCCATGTAGAGCTACAAAGGTTCGTGGGTGATGGGAAGTCGGTTCTAGTTAGTTGTTATGTTTGGGCTTCAGTAAATCAAGGACACGAAGTATGGACTTGACCCCCAAATAGAAGGGTTCATATCGTAAATAGACCTGTGAAGTTGACCCCTCATACTTGGCTCTGTGGGCTTTCAACAGAGTTGACAGCAATCTTCATCCATGGAAGGAGGTACGTAACAGGCCTGACACTACGGTTGATGATACAAATCCCGCATTACCATGAGGACCCTAAACTATGGGAATTATGTTTTAGTCCTTGTTGTGGGTAATGCAGATTTGTACCATCAACCCTAAACCCAAAACCCTGAACCCTGAACCGAAACCCTGACACCTAAACCCTAAACCCTGAAGCCTAAACCCAATGTTTTAAACCCTAAGCCGTAAACCCTGAAGCCTAAACCCAATATTTTAAACCCTAAACCCTAAATTTAAACCCTGAACAGTACGGACGACTACACTGGAATATAATTACCATAGTTCCCATAGTATATGTTCCTTAAGGTAATGCAGGATTTATATCATCAACCGTAGGACGACTACACTCCTCCTGTCAACGATGGCAAAAGCTTTGTTCAACCACTGCCAGGAACGCAAAGTATATCTAGCCAAACAGACTGGCCTCCAAACCAGGAAAAGCCACCGAAAAGCTGCTGCGCAAAGATGAAGACAACGAGGAATGTTGCCAGCGGTAGATATACAAGACATGGTAGGGCCAAATAGCTCCCACCCAGTCCGGTGAGACCGAAGCATGAGACCAGTAAGACCACCACTGCGAACCACGTAGCAATAGAGCATTTCACTGCTACACCCAGATTGAAGTATAAGCACAGCGCCAGGAACTTTGGCCGTGTCCCCGCGCTCCATGAGTGACTGATGAAAATATCCACGTTCTCAGTCTCTGTTGATTTCTCAAAAACTCGTCCCCCTGCCAGCCGAACGTGCTCTTGTGTGGGGTAGCGAACATTTGGCTGGTCTCCAGCATCAAGGAGCGTTCTCAGACCCACATTCAAGATCATGCCGAAACCTGGGCAGCTACGCGGCGTGTTTGGATCCCAAGACAGCATCTTACGCGCCGATGATCGTGGGTCATTGTCTAAACCTAGGGACCTAGTTGGTCACCGGGTGATTGTCATGAACAGGAACCTCACAATATGGCAACCACAACATCCCGTTGCGAATCGTGGCCCCATCCATCAACTACGTGCAACCATACGTGACACAAGATAATCTCTATACAGTCGTTCACACCGACGGTGAAACGCGTTTGGAGCTTTCTTTAGCAGCATTGGCCCATGCCCTTTCGTACCTGCCGCGAGTTCTTGGAGGGTTTCTTGCGAGCTCATCCCGGCCCAGCCCTTAATCTGCCCCACATCCTGAAAGGTTTTGGCTCCTGGGGGCTAAACGGGAGACTCATTCAATGCATCTTCCACCAAAGGACTCTGCCTGCCTCCTGACTGTTCGAAGCCCAAAGCTCGAACCCCTGAACCCTATGCTAGACCGTAAAACCCTCAGAGCCTATGAGCTCGTGAATCCTAAGCCCTACCACATCAACAAACGTACGATCCAACGCAGGCTGCGTGTATCTTTACTTATCGTGCCCAAAGGAGGATATCCTTTCATGTATACCGCACCTCGCGGGTGCTTTAAAAGCTCCAGCCGGACAAGATCGAGGGACCGGTCAGCACATGCCGAGCTGTCGTTGATCGAAAGTTCCCTCGAAGGAGTACTTCCTCAAGTGAGTCCTTGGTTGCACATGAGCTCCTAGAGATCCAGCAAAATGCCCGTGTGCAAGTCACGGCCTGTCATGGGGGGACCATACATATACACACGTAAGCAAATGTATGTGTGTATGTTTACGCATATACCTATATACATACATTTATTTATATGTATGAACAATAAACAATATGTGTACCGTGTATAAACGCATGACCACACCTATTATTCCATGTTCGCCTGGGAAAAGACTAGGGGCCATCTGGGACTTGTCTTAGTGGGGGTGCGTTCGAGGGTATGGGATGGATTCTTCGCAAATTGGCCAGGACAGTCATTGCCGAATGAAGCAGCCGATGCGTTGATTGCGAGGGCAGGGCTCGGGGATCAGAGTTGTAAACCCTAAACCCTAAACCTAGTTCATGGTTGGGATAGGATTAAAAATTGAAATCATTACTCCTTATTATTGGGCTTAAGTACCCATTACCCAACTATGACAAAGACACCCGGCCCTAATTGGGCTTTATAGGGATCAGGGGTTCGAGCTCCTTCATCCAGGAGCTGAGACGTCTCACTTGTAGGCTCAGGGGCTGACAGATCACTCCACTTGGAGGGTCGGGTATTTTGTAGAGTTATAAGTACCATAACCCCAAATAGGGTCCCTTTTAGGGTACTTATAAGTCTACTTACTACCTACTTACGAAGTCCCCCGACCCTCCAAGTAGAGGTGGGCTACGAGCTAGAGACCGGAGACAAGGGCGCGGCTACGCAAAGCCTGTTAGGGTGGTGCTACGGCTGATGGTATAAATCCTGCATGACCCATGATAAGGAATTTACCATAATTCCCATAGTTTAGGGTCATTAGGGTAATGCAGGATTTATATCATCAACCGTACAAGGCTTCTGCGAGGATTCCTATCTGCGAAGCCATGAGGATGTACTTGGAGGGTCTGGGGACTTAGTAAGTAGGTAATAAGTGGAGTTGTAAGTACCCTAAACGGAATCCTAATTGGGGTTATGGTAATTGTGAAAAGCGGAGGATTCCACTCAACTCTCGGTCACAAAGCCCAAGGCAGCCGATCGTAGATAAAAGCAATGCAGCAGGCAAAGCAAGGATGATCAGAGTTAAAACCGTAAGGTTGACGCTCAGGTAGAAGACAGGTCCTACAACCCCCAGGCTGTAAGCGGTCTTTTCCTGGGACTCGCTAGGCGGTCCTTGAGCAGTCAAGCTGCGTAGTGAGACAAAGTTGGCCTGAATCCTAACCAGAAGGCAGAAGCACATATACGCATGTCAGTGACAAATCACACCCCCCTCGACGCGAGCTCACGCGTGAGAAGAGCGGAGTTTAGGATAGTCACATCCACTGATTGTGCACCGAGCCACACCTCTTCCGGTCAGCTAAGCTTGAAGCAATTAAGAACCATTAGATGTGGGTCGGTCTCTGCATCTGGATCATACCTATGTTTCACTTCTGTACAAACGCAGCCTTTTGTGATCGTCAGGCGCATAGCGAATTGCCGTGTGATCGTTGGCAATCGGATGTTCCATCGGATCTATGCGGGGTTTACATATTAGACTCAATGCGCTCAGAGTGAGAACTCGGCAGCATCGAGTGTCCGTGAAAAGAGAGGGACACACGAGGAAAATACCATGGCTAGCCATTGTACCCCTGTGGGTCTTCTCAGCTGGGCGCAGGCAAGGAGGGCTGAGGAAGTAGCAGAAATTGTATCATAGCCGGGTTTCACCATCAGAATCCGCCTGACCCGATTGACGTGTGGAACATGGGTCAGAAAGACTCAACCGGATTCACCTTGCAATGACACAATACGTCGCCACGTAGGTTGACGGTCGTTACCTACGAGTTGTGGGGCTACGGGTACGGTCCTTGTTTCCTCGTCCGGGACCGCCCCTTCCTTTGTTTCCCTTATCACCCTTTCCTCGGCCTTTCTCCTGCTTTCCTTTTCCTTTCTCGGCTTTTCCTCTTCCTTTGCCCTTCGTCGGCTGCCTCGTGTCATCAGCTTCATCGATGAGGCCTGCCACGTTGGAGCCAGTTCGGGATTTGCCTTTGGCCGTTGTTTCTTTGGCCGGGCCCATCGTGCGAGATCGTGGCTCAGTCGAAGCGGAATCGGATGGGGCTGGAGGTGCGGTATCCGCAGTCTCAACAACGCGCTGTTGTGTACGTCCCCGTGCCTCTGCACTTGTAATCACCCGACCAGGGGTCGGTCGCTCCATTTCTCGTCGCGGGCTGATTTCGAAGGTGGGTTCGAAGCAGTGCGAACACTCGGTGCAGGGAACTTGGGATTGATCCGCTCCTGCGTAGTAGCGGATGTGCCTCCAGGCGAGGCGGTTCTTCCCGCTCCTGTTTCCTCGGCAGAGGGAGCAATCACGCCAGCCGCCTTCATGTTGATAGGGTCATCGGGATTTGCATTCATCGAAACGATGACATTGGCGGCTTTCTTCCTGACAACAGGCAGCGTGTTCGGTGCGTGATACATGCGAATAATATCTTCAATCGTCGGGTTGTCCAAATCAGATTCCGGAACCCGGGTCTTCATTCGCAGCACCAAGGGTAGACCCATTTGATCGGAGTAGGGTGCCCTTCCTGAGACCATCAGTGTCTCCCCTTCAGCGTGGGGGACATTGTAGCCCGATTGCCTCGACATCTTCCGACTCGGTGGATTTGATGGAGGCGGCATCTCGAGAGGCGGGGGCGGAGTCGTCTCAGGAGCGACACCTCCGAGATGCTCTCGTCCAGTGCGTTGTGACGTCGGTCCGGGTCGGATCGCCCGTTCTAGCTCAGCATCATCCTCGTCCTCATCATCCGGAGGAACGGGGACGGCATGAGCCTCGGGAATCGACGCTTGCCGTTGCTCGGTGGCCTGCACTCTGCGCTGAGGCGTATCATCACGCCGTCGTGCCTGCCGAGCTGCGACGTCAAACAGTCCTTGAGGCTCTTCCAGTTCATCGGGTAGAGCCTCGAAGACATCTTCGTTCTTTTTCATAAGAACAGGGTCAGTTCTCTTAGTATCGGGGAGCTGATCCTTTACGCCTTCAACAAGAGTGAAGAACGTCTTCTCAGTCGCGCGATCATCGTCGAACCATTCCTTTATCTTGGCAGAGTGATCGCGAATGAACTCCTTGAATTCCTTACGCGTCTCATCAGGCGTTTCAGGGGCATCAAGGAGTGCCGTATTCCCCTCAGCGATAATCGTGAATCGGGGATCAGTATGGTGCGGGATGAACTTCCGCCCCAAAGGGTCCAAATCACGCCAGTTGATGGCTTGGACGTCGGGTTCTTCTTCCCCTTTGCCTTTCCCTTTGGGCTTCTCAGTTGCCGCTGCAGTTCCTTCGATCTCCTCTGCTTCATCGTCGGAGATGTAGCCAGGTTCACCTTTCATCGGAATGCCGTAGCACGTTGTAAGGGTAACTTTGGCAAGGAGCGTGGAAAGGCTTTCACTATCGACACGCATGTATCGCTGATACTTCTGCGTGTCCGTGATAGTGGCGCGGAACTCATCCAATGTTCCAAACTCGGTGGAAAGTCGAATTTGCCGTCTCATCGCCAGATTGGCGTTCTGCAATGGCAGATGCGCAAGCCGGATTTTCTCGACCATGTCTGAATCGACGGTATAATCGATCGTCCCCCCTGTGTAAAAGGGGGAGAGATAGCCGCGCGACAGGCAGACTCGGTATGCGCGTTGACAGTGAATCGACCATCGTGCATAGTAGCACAGCGGCTTTTCGCGGCATGTGGCGAAGACCGCTCCGAACACAGCCGATCGATTGCGAGTTGAGGAACTCTTCCACACCGCACCGAGCTTCCTTGCCAGTGATACCGGCAACAAGCCTCTCAATGGAAATGTCCAATCGAATGGCGCCTTGAATCGTTCCGCGCACGCTCTTCTTGAACGATTCCACTTCTTTCGGCGATGTATCAGCTGCAGTGCATTTGATCGGTGGCACTCCGAAGAATGCGGTTTGCCTGTGGTCCTCAGCGAGGGACCTAGACACCGGGAAATTCCTCAGCTGCTTGATCGCAGGGTACTCGTGAAGTCGGAATTCCTTAAGCTCGTTTCGCTCGATGAGCTCGTTGAGCCAATTGGCATGACTTCCATAGTACTCGATCTGAAAGGGGTTCACAGGATCGGCGTAGAACATCCCATCAGGATAGTGAATCGGCTTGGTGCAAGAGTGGCACATGTGGAGACCTACCGGGAATGATGCTCCGCACATGGGGCAGTCAAAACTAGCGAGTGGCCACGTTTCTCGTTTGTGGTCTCCTCTCTTGGGGCCAGTGCCAAACTTCGGACCTCCAGTGTATTTGAAGGCCGTGTTGAACACTAGGGATCCCGTGTCCATGAAGTATGCAATGGGCATACAGGCGAGAGGGATACTGTCTTTGACCGCATAATATCCCCTCGGGTGGAATACAATCGGATTGATTCCCGCCGCAATCATGTGCAAATCAATCGCAAACACGATCATGCGGTTGGATCCCATCCCTTCAGGGAGCATGGATTGTGATGACGCGGTGTTCGAAAGCGTCTCACGCCCCGGGTTCATTCGGACGTTCATGTACACCTCTTCCCACTCATTGTTGTGCCCAGATCCGGGAGCATACGGGAGCAGAGTGAGGAACAGCCGTCCCTTCGGAGGATTGATCTTGCAATCGCTCATGTACCCGAAGAATTCGCGAATCGTTGCGCATCCCCATCCGTACTGAGGATGGTATCGGGCCACATTTCTTTTCCTCTCGCCACCGACGTAAAGATCCTGAGCGAGCTGAATAAATGGCCCGTGCTGACACTTGGTCAGCAGTCGGAATCGGCTGAAGTTATCAGGGCCGAAACCGTAGGTGGCTCGGATGCCAACAAATTGAGGACTTCCATCGTTGTCGATCGTCGAGTAGAAGAACTCAAACATTCGGTTGTTGTCCGTCCGAGCGATCTCCATAATGCATTGGGTAGTAAGCTCGGTCGGTTCACCGTGATCATCCAGAATATTTGTCTGGAGAAGAATTCGACCATCGTTTTCTCCGGCGTTGGCCTTCATGTATTCCCTCTCACGCTCCATGTACATCGGAATGACATCGGAAGCGATGATGCCACTCTGGTCGAAGTGTGAATACAAGGGAATGCCCCTTTCTTGATCCTGGGGGCGATTCTGCGCTCTCACGGCAGTAGCGGAAGGGTACTCCTTCGTTTGCGTCAGCACTCGGAACATCAGTTTCCGCACCAAATTGATCATTCCTGCGTCCGGAATCCTGGCGGCAGGGATGTTTTGTGCGTCGTCAATCAACAATCGGCTGCATGACACGGATGTTCCGCCGACAGATCGGAACTTTGCCTCCTTAGCATTGTATGCCGGACAGCGTCATTAATCTCGCGGCAGTCCTCGTAAGACTCCGGTCGGAGGAAAGAATCGTGATCTCCTTTGACCGGTTTCTTGTGAAGTGCCACGTTCAAGTACACTGTCTGATTCGAGGATAGCATAGCGAATCGGCGCCTCGAATACTTGCGCTGTTCGTCAGTCGGTGGGAGACAGGTCGCGGAGACCAGTCGACCATGGACGGAATCATCGATGCCCATGTCGAGTCCCGGGATGACGAAGTCCGTCAGTGCAATCGGGACGGACGTCATTTCATACTGCACGATCGGCGCAATGGAGTCGATACCCCTTTCAGGCATCTGGTCAGGGCGATGAATCGTTGTCGCCTTGATACCAGGGCCCTCGATCCGGAAGTTTCTCGGATCATTTGCCGCCTGATCGGCTGTGGTACTGGTCGGGTCAATGTCGATATCCGGCCCTCGAGCACCGGAGAGCACGGCTCCCTGAGCAACCATAACATTCGGAGAACTGGAACGCACGCCGTGTTCCGGAGGGTTCTCAGCGGTTCGGGCAGCTGGCGGCGGGGCCTTGCCGGGGACCTCGTCTTGCAGCTCCTTCCCGCTACCCATATCCACGTCCTCCTCGTGTTTCTGCTCAGGCTTCTGATCGGCCGTGTCATCATCCATTTTGGTATCATCGTCATCCTCCTTTGCACTCTCTTCGGACGCCCTCGGAGGTGCTGCCGCTGTAGGCGGAGGAGGAGGAGCCACGTTTGGCGGAGGCGGCGTAGTCGCGCGCTCCGATGTCACACTAACCTGTTCGGTGGACGGAAGATCGTTGTCCGCCGCGCCTTCACCCTGACTACTCAGGGCACCTGAGGCATCACTGCGACGCGAGGAGGAAGCGGCAATAGATCGGGCATGCTTCTGGAACTCACTCGCAATGAATCCTGCAGTGTTCCGCAGCTGTACTGCAACACTGCGTTGGAACTGGGACAACCTGTCATCCCCAGATCGACCGGTAGTGCCGTAGCTCAAGTCATCGGTGAGCCCCATTAGGCTCTGCACCGGGTCTTCCTCCGGCCTACGGAACTCAGTCACTCGTCGCTGCATGGCGAAGCCCGGTGGCAGCTTGAGGTCCTCTCTCGTCAACCTCGCCGCTGTGTTATTCACCAGGGCCACCCGGGTAGGCGCAATGAGGTCCGGCCAGTCATCGGGAGTCGGAACCTCAAGGTCCTCCGGCTTGAACACCATCTGTTCAAAAGACATCGCACCCATGCCACGGTGTCGGATGGCAATCTGCAATGACTGGTATGTGTTGAGAAGCGATCGGGCCATACCGTACGTCGAGGGAATGTGCGGATGGAACACAGGGAGGGTTGACATGCTTGCAACCACTGCATCCAGGTTGGAGATAATCGCACCAACCTTGGCTTCAAGCTCCCCCCTGTTTCCATACTCCGGGGTCCACCGTGCATCAATGGCGGACACGGTCTCACCAGTATCTCGGTTGATGAGCACAGGCGTAAATCGGTCGCTGGCCATTTCCCTGATGAGATTGCTGTTCGACTCGACCCGACGCCTGCCTTGGGCCAACCGGTTCGTGACAGCATCAAGCGCATAGTCACCCGGAGGATACATGGCACCCTGGAACACATTGTCATCGCTCATGTTCGGATCCATGATCTTGGCTAGCCCATCGGCAATGGATCGAAGGTGTTCGGCATTCTCAACTCCTGTGGCGCCCTTCGCCACTTCCGCGATATGCGCCTTCATCTTCGCAGCCTGTTCACGGCGAGCCTCAATTTCACTGACTTGGCTCTCGAAGTGCGCATAACCTTGGCGACTCTCGGCAGTGGGTCCCGCGGCTTCCACACCACCGATCGGCTTTGGCTTCTTCATCGTAGATAGAGGGATCGTCGGCACGGCAGGCGGTCGTGCAGCGTCCCGATTGGCTGCGACTGTTCGCTCTGCATCCCGGGGAGTAGGCAACTTCCCGAATGCTTCAGTCATTCCTTCGAGAAGCTCATTGAACTCCTCATCGGATTCCTCCTTCTTGATCTCGGGCATCGCTGCATCGCCATCCCCTTGCTGTCCGGCGTCATCGGAGCTATTGCTAGACTCTTCATCGTTCGTAGCAGCCGGAGCAAGGCCGGGCGACACTGGCATTGCCTGGCCAGGCACAGGAGTAGTGGGCAGCTCAATCGGATCCGGATGACGAACACCCGGCAGATCAGCCAAAGTCGTCTGTTCCTGTTTGATCGGATTCTCGGGAGCAGTCGGACCTGCATCGTCGACCATATCTTCATCATCGTCGTCATCGAAGCCAAGCTGACTCATGCCAACGGTCTTTGCGGCTCGATGATCGGCGCCGCGATCTGCCCCTTCGATAAGGTCCTGCACTGTGGAGTGCACAATGGCCTTCACCGTGCCCGTCGACCTTTCTTCCGGGACTGGAGCGCGCGCCCACATTTTATCGTGGGCAATCTGATACTCCCGTCGGGTAGCGTAAGACGGAAATCGTGCGAGAGCCGCAAGTGTGAACATCGAGCAGATACGGGTACACAGGACCCCAATCGTCTTGGACTCATGCATGATGTGATATCCTTTCAGGTATGGTAGTCCTTCCAGGATAGCGTCAAACGACAGGGAGAGGAAGTTGGACCTCCTGATTTCGTCCCAGATCGACCTCATCTCCTCTCTGTATTTCTCGAAGAGAGGGCCAGGAAGAGTCGGAAGGTAACCCATGCTCGGTGACACTGGTCCGCAAAGGGACACCGATCCGTAGATCGTGTTATACTTCTCAAGGGCATCCCGGGCGGTCAATTTGGCGTATTGTGATCGTGCCGTATCGATGTCACCAGTCAGCTTATTCCAGCCCTGGTCCATCTTCCACATCTCATCTCCTTTCCAGAGGATGAGGATGTGCACGTTCGATGGCGGGACAGATGGGTCGCTCCGCATCAGTTCGAGCGTATCTACCATCTCCTTGAGCTTTTCGCTCTCATCAAACGCCTGCACTCGAACTTCGGACTCAGGGAATCCAAAGCTTGCCAGCGCGTTCTTCAGATGGGTGTTCATCTCACCATCGTGCCAGGATTTGGCAGATCTGAAGGTTAGCAGGCCATCGTGCATGACAACGAATCTCTGCGGCTTGCTGGGTACCGCCGGCTTGATCGTTGGCGGAGCACCTCCAAATGCAATCGTGGAGGCCATGGTCGTGACCGTTCTGATCCCGTGAATCGAGACAGCCACAAGAGCATCGGCTGGGCTCCAAACAGGCGCGCCAATGATATCCGTCGTATTTTCTTCATCGTATACGATACCGATACCCTTGATATTCTTGGCGGGCGTGTAGCCGAAGTTGCCGAGCAGAGCACCGTATGCCTTTCGGTAGTGCCTGCACCATGCCTCCCACTCTTTGGAGGGTCCTCCGGCAATTGTCTCGAGCTTTCTATACTTTGGCAAACCTTGGCTGCCTTCCTCTCCCAGGATGGGTGCACGATACTGGAAGAAAGGAGCAAGCTCGATTCGGTAGCTAGAGGACTGGAGCTCGGATAGCAATGCACACCTGCCACCGACAGTGGCTTGCTCGCTCGTCCCGTAAGTGTCGGGCATCCAGTGATTGCGTCGAAGCACTACTGGGTTGACGGTGATTCGCTCCGTTGCCTCACTACCACCTGCCGCAGCCTGATCATCAGCCGCGGTTGCTACAGGCTGCTCTGGCTCGGTAGATGCAGCCTGTTGGGTAGTGTTGCCCCCCTGAATCGTGAGGTCGGCAAACTCGACATTGTCGCGCGCGACACTGTCTCCCAGCAGCTTCAGGATGCGAGGATCGATCGGGCTCGCTTCCATCCACGGGTGCCAAGCCACAGCCTTCATCCCATCGGCACTGAGGAATCGGTGTCCGTGGACGACGTAGTTCGGGGAAACCCCTTGCTCGCGGTCATCCAAGAGGCGGAAGGGCCTGAACGCGATTCCGCACAGCTCGAGAAATCGAGTTCCTACGCGGATCTGCTTCTGGGATCCCCCCAGCTTCTTTGTCGTGCGACTGTGGCTGTTCACCATAGTTCGGGAGACGCAGATCATCACTTGGAACCAGTAGCCTCCGCCGAGGTACGTGCCAGATGCATAGCTACCAGCAGCCTCGGAGGCGTGTCCAGTCACCCAGACGCAGGGTTCGTGACTTCCATGATCGTCCGTCACGTAATCCTCCCCGAATAGACCTCCGTGTGCAAGGATCGACCAGAGGTATCGGAGATTCGTTCCGTGAAGGAACGTTTCCTGAGGATCGTATATGTCCGAATTCATCGCTGGGACATACACCCATCCGTCAGTCGGGCGGATGGTGATCTGTGACGCACCGTCCTCGTAGGTCATTTGGGTGCTGGCTCCCCAGTTGAGCGTATCATCGATGCTGACGCATCGCCCGGGGTAGGCCTCAGCCATCGCCTTCATGAACGAGACCCACCCGCGCATCAGCGGGTTATTTTCATCGTCGTCTTCGTTGCGAAAGGCGGCCACTTCACCAATCCCGTTCGCATCCACGGCAGGAAGATCGTAGCCGTGTTCCTTGCGATCATTCTCGAGATGAGTCGCTTGCTCTTTCAGAGAATCCAGCGTGGGAAATCGGTTAAGGGCCTTGATTGCCAGAAACGCTCCAGGGATGAAAGAAAGTGTCGGCCTGAGCTGCAGAAATCCCTTGAAGAACTTCGCGGCTTCAGCCGGGTTGACCGCATCCCTTGACAACTCAATGGGCGACAGCTTGGTGAGGTCGTTGTGTTTGATACTCGTATCGGTCCTCAACCATCGCTGTTCCGCAGACGAACTGCTGAATCCCATGAGATTTCGGTTCCAGCTCGCAAGAGGCGACGGAATGTAACAGGTTCCCATGAGACGGAGCGTATCGTTGCTCAGTGTCTCTCGAGATCCCTTAAAGGTGTGCGCTTGAAAGTGCATACAGTGGCGAGCCAGTGCCATCGTAAGGTCCATTTTCTCGCGGACCCCTGCGGCATCACCAGACAACGTCGCCACTCGGGAAAATGCAAGAGCGCACATCACCCTGTATCGGTCGATGAAGTCCATAAACTCTCGGGGGTACTGCTTCCTCTGCTTATCCGCAAGCGGATGATTAGAGAGGAGGAAGGAGTCAACCAGCTGATGCAGCCTTTGGTCGAAACCAGAGTTGCATGCCAGCTGTTCGAGGCGCTGCCAGATTGAGGCCTGTGGGATCTCTTGGACCCCGATCTTCAGCATCATTGCTTTCATCCTCAATCCTATCGGAACGTCCTCGGAGCGCTTCCCACCCCCAGTAGACTCATCTCTCGGGGTCTGAATCGGGACTGGGGCTTCATCGGCGGTTATGTTGGAATCAGCCTGCTCCGTGGGGATCGGCGGAGCAGGAGGCCTTTCCGTAGTCGGCGCAATCGGACCGCTCGGAAGGCCTTCCACGCAAGGCGAGGGAGACTTCGGCTGAGGTGATCGGGCAGCCGGTGTCTTGGCAGCAGCCTTCTTCGGTGGCTGCTTGTTCTTTCCTCCCATCGTTCAGCAGCGGCGGCAGCGCGGAGAAGTTCGCAGCCCGTGGCAGCTACAACCTGTCCTAGCAGGGAGCGCAAGTGGGCTATGGACTGAGTCGTAGTAGAGGTGGTCTGTGATGGTCGGTTGACAAAGGTGATCTATGATCGTTGCCCTTAGAGCTCCTTACCAAGCTATAGTCAAGTGTGAGTGTGCAAGTGTGTGCATGGCCTTGGCGTCTTTGTTTAAGCAATCGGCAACGCGGATTGCTGTGAGCCAAAAACCGCAGAATTCATGAAATGTTCAAGCGCAGCCCACAATGCAAATCGAAGCTCTTTCGGGTCGACCCTTTTGGCCTTCTTGTGATTGCATGCAAATCGTGACATGAAGATGGGCCCAAACCGGGCAGGCATGAAAATCTCGCACATCCATGCATGCTGAGAACATCGACCAGAGGAGCACGAACACAGCTTAACTGGGCAAAGCTCGTGCGATTCAGACCATCGCCTTATGTACTCCCTACCCCATAATGGGTTTCCCTTCGGTAGCACATGGAATACAGGAATTCCAGATGAGCGGGCAGCGGAAGCATACCCGAGTAATTTCTTGGCTTCCCATCCTTTTTCTTTGAGGTCGCCCCTCATTTCTTTCCAACCCCTGCTCTTGAAACCGGCTTCTCTTTTGTTAGCGGTGCCAGCAATCGGAACAGTGACAATACATACCGCAGGCGTGGGCGGAACCCTGATGTTCGAAATAGCAATCCCCTTTGCATTATCATCGAGACTGAGATTGATACTTCGAGCATGAGGGAATCGGATTATGCCTTCGCCTCCGATATGAATACATTTTATTGCTGCTCCGAATTGGTGTGCATCATCGATTGAAATACCCCCCTGACGAGACATGTCGAGGATGAAATCGTTGAAGGGGCTGTGACCCGTTTCAAGATGTACCCCCCTGGTTGGACAGACAGAGGGGAGAGCATGGAGAGCGGGAGCGGCAGACAGCATACCAGAGGAAATAAGAGTACCTTTACGAAAATGACCAATAGACATAAGGTTGCGACCCCACACTTTAGCATCAGTGCAGGCCTTGGTCAGGATATCACCAGCCTCAAACTGAGAGGGACACGTCACGAACATAAAGTCACCAGCGTGGTAGCGTTCATTCAACGCAGAAATATCGATACGCTGGGTACGAGACATATGACGCATATTAGGATTGTGACCAGTGATAATGACACGGATGGCAGCTTCATTGTCTTCCATTACCCCGAAACGGAAACGGCGGCCCAACATATACTCCCACATGGAGAGAGCGGGCAGTCCCAGTTTATAGACCGCGTGATCAAGAGAGACAATTTCGGCTTCGGGAGTAGACTTCGACACAGAGGTCTGCTTCTTGGACAGCGCATTAAGAGGCATAAAGCTACGCGGGCCAAGAAGACACATGAAGACGCCAGAAGTGCTCTTGGAATCAGTGCGGTCGCCCGCAAGATCAGCATCGCAATAGAGCACAAGCTCCAACATCTCGGGCGCATCACCAATCCAACCATACAAATTGAGATCGAGGGTGGAATTGATATAACACACCAAACGATGAAGCTTCTTGTCACACAAACCATCCCACTTGGTGATGAGACTAGCAAGTGCCTGCACGGGGCGGATGAGATCGTATCGTCCCATGCGAGCACCATACAAGATTTTCATCAGGACAGCAGCAGCGCAGTCACCAAGAACGCCCTTACCAGGAGGCACAGGCGTATCGATGGGATGGCCCAACAAGCGGTTCACCTCGGGACGATCCGGATTAGTATCGAACTCCGGTCGCGACTCATCGAGGAACGGCGTGTCAGCCGACCGCAAGGTGGCTTTGTATTTAGGACCACAGAGCTCAACGTAGCGAGAGACACATTGCTCCATGAACGATCGCATATCGTACTTGATCATTCGGATTTCGCGAGGACCGACAGAGCCCTGCGCGACAGTAGTGTCACGATCGCCAAAAGTGAGCTCGGGAAATGCCTTCTTGGGTTCCTCGAAGCGCGTCCAATAGGAGCGCGGATCAAAAGCATTAGGAACAACATGTGAGAAAGTAACATGCTCACAACCCAAATAACGTTTGATGCTCGAGGGCGGCTCCAATTTAATCTTTGATGCCATGAGCTCCCACCCTTTGGCCAGATTGGCCTTTGGTCCACTGAGTTTAAAATCATCGACGTAGACCACGAGCATAAGGTTAAGCTTGGGATGACGAAACACGCTCTTCCAGTCAGGGCATTGCTCGAAGCCAACTGAGCGGAGAGCCTTTTCGCAATGCTGTTCCCAGAACCCACCGGCATCCGGGTGCCCATAAAGGGCCAATACAAGACGCACAACCGGGTCATGATACTTTCCATGCCATTCGGGCAGCCATCGATCTTTGGGCAGTCGCACCCATGTGGCTGGGCCACCAAGCTTAGCTTGAGTGTAGGCCGCGGGGCATGAAGTTATCTCGGAGAAAATCGCCCAATTGTTGCCTTCATCTTTGACATGACAGCCCTCAAACACGACACGACCCTTAAATTTTCGATTGGGATCGGATTCCGGTAGCTCGGAGTTCTTCTCAACGCATATATCGAAGATGCGACCAACATGGGCCGTCTCCCCTTTTGCCATGGCCTCGTTAGATACATCGCGCCACTCACGCACTGAGGCGTAATCCCAACAGCCCTGGTTGATGAGCTTATTCCACTCCTTATCAAGAGCGGCCTTGGCCTTGGGATTAGCGGCACGTTCCTTTCGATCAACAGGCCGTGCGACACATGCACTGTAGAAGAACACCGAAGAGTCTGGAGAGCGGTGCGAATGAGGATCGGGACGAACAGACATCGCAGGGGCTGCATCGGTAGCCACACAAGCGTTGGAGGGCTCTACCGGGGCAGATAGACCATCCCCGGCATCCTCATCCGTGAAATCAAGTTCAACCGCGGCTAGCACAGAAGTGTAGAACTGAACCACTGCCACGTCCTGTCCTGGCTCGACAATAAGGTCGGTGTCGGTAGGATTAAGGACGTCGACCCCTGATTGGGTTGCCCCCTCGTTATACGTGTACATGGCCGGACAAATATCGAGGCCACTACCGCGGAGCGGCTGAAGGCGGGCCGACATACTGCTTGGGGGTTCAAACTCAAGGTCGGTAACAACACAGGCGCGGGACTTGGCAGGGACGACAACACGTCCCTTCGCGCGCAAGGCGTGGCCATAATAGCCATTCGCCGTTTGCACTCGGCGCTCTGTGCCGTCCTTATTCGGCAGACTGGTGCGAACCCTGATCTGTGTTTTAGCAGAAGAACCGATAACGAAAACGGTCTTTCCTGTCCATCGACATGGTAGAGATCGCACATCGGATGATCGCCATGAATCCTGGAATGTAAACTCCGTGCCATCGGTCATGGCCATAGTCACCCTGACATCAGTCAAGGTCGCAGGATCGACGGGACAGTCCTTCACTGAGGTTGGATTAAAGCGCGCTCGGCGCTCGATCACATGAAATCGGGTGATCGTGCCAGCTGCGACATCGTGATACCAGTAATCCTTATCATGTCGTTCAGCACCCGACTCATATTCGGAGTCGAAAGCCATGTCGACAGGAGCAGCATCGCGAGAATCCTCTCGGGACATGGCATGAGACTCAGCTTCTCGGCGCTCAGCCTCGACATATCCCTCCCGTTCGGCGCGATTCATGCTGCGCCAGGATTCTGAGTCGATAGAGTTCGGCTTTCGAGACCCTCTGTAGATACGCTCGGAGCGCGGCACACTCTGACGATAAGGCAAACCCCCCTCGCCCTCCAGGATCTCCGACCCATGGTAAGGAGGTAACTTCTTCTTCTTGGATGGGGCAAAGCCATCATCAAAGAATTCGACAGTGCCTGTCCAGAGTTGCATGAGTCTCGTCTTGCCGAAGGCATAGCCGGTTTCATAGATCGTAACCGGGCCTTTATCCTTATACTGAACATGCGAAATACGCACTGTGCTCAGCTTCCACGGATCAGGCGATTCGCCAATAGATCCGGGAGTCTTACTGGGATGAATCATCGCCTTTCTCGGGACGACTACGTGATAAGTCCACTTATGACTCGATGGATCATAATCCCAGTAGTCGACACCTCCTCCATGAGAAGATTCGGCTCGTAACTCGGCCTCACGAGCCCGCCGAACATCTTCTTCGGTCATTCGGGTCGGCTCGTCGAGGGCAAATATTTCATCGATATCTTCGAGTTCGAGCATATCAGAGGCGTCAAGGCGCTCACTTGACTGAGGCGCACAGGATTTCATCGCAGGATCGTTGATGCACATTGATCGAGTCTGCTTGTCGTACACGGCGAGCATCGGGAACGTCCATCGCTCCTTGGGTGAACAATATATCTTCTTGACTTGATGGACGCTCGCACGCAATGCATCGCGTTTGAAGTCTTCCAAATCGGCGACAATGTAGTCACCGTCCCACTTGCCCCCGTTCTCAAAATGATAACCCAGAAAAATACCAGGCTTACTCGTAGGGGAGAACTTGCTGGGGCGTTGGTAAGACGACAAGCGTTGGTCAACGTCGGCGCCCTGGAGAGTGCCAGATTGATCATTGTCTCCATCATCAATCCACTCAAGATAACCATCGTCATCGAAACCAATTTCGACATCAATCAGTCCGTCGTCTCCAGGCGCAGGTACGGCGTACTCCTCACCATCGCCGAGGACGACTTCATCTCTCTGACTCCGCCGGGTCTGCTTTCGTGCCGGCGTAGGATAGAAGTCAACAAGGCAACCAAACGGCAGAATCTGACCGTCAAACTCAACACCATCAAATCGCATCGCATAGGCACTCTGACCCTCGCGCAATTCGATGTTGCGAGCATGGCAGAAGTGCTTGCATGCATAAGGCCAGAATTTGGCGCTCAATCCCTTTTGTCGTAGCGCCACACGTGCGCCATGAAGGACAAGCTTCAATTAGTTCGTGGCATTCCCGGGGTGGAGTGCTTCACAGATATGCCGACTTTCTTGCAGGTCGATATGAACTCACGGGCTTTATCACAGTAGCTTTCCCGAATCGCAGAAGGTGCATACCTCCTCTCCACATCCATGGAGAACGAGTTCACATCTCGAAGATCGCCAAAGACCTGCTGAAATGCTCGAAGCGTATCGGCATTCGTTCTTCCCTTGACGGGAACGCTCTCCAGCCACTCGGTTGCTAGATCGTAGAAGACGACAGCATCCGTCTCCCCATTATTCCCGCGATTGCCGAGCCCATGCAACACCATTGTGTCGATGGTAACGTGTTCGCCAAACTTCTCAACCCCTTTATCGCGCGGTGAGTCTTGGCGAAAGGATTTAACATTTTCCATCTTTGCACGTTGGCAGGCATCGCAATAGGGGTTCTTTGGGAGATGGGTCATGAGATGACGGATTGACTTCGCCTCGTCTCTCAGATCGCGCGCTCTAGGTTCATCAGGCGGCGACTGAGGCTTACCCTCATCGGGCACCTTCTTGTTATCGTCAGGTGCACTCTTCTGAACGCTCTTGGCGTTGGGCATATCGAGATCAAGTTCTCCGACAGCGTCTAATTCGCTGCCAGGCTCTTCACCAGCTGCAACGACCTTTTCGTGGACGATAATCGGTGCTGGGAGAGCCGGATACACACGAGGGAGATCAGGTCGGCCGGCCACTACTTCTGTCTCACTTGGAGCAAGGTAGGGAATATTATTGATCACGTCGACCTTGAGGAGTTTCCCTTTCGGATCAAAGAATATCGGATCGCAAAAGGGCTCCCAAATGAATCGATAACCAAGCTCCTTACATCGTTTCCCAAGGGAGAGGAGACTTGGCGTGCTTTCCAACACATAAGCTTCAATCAGCTCATCGAGACCATCGATGCGCATATGCGCAACACCCTTGGTGTTGGTCTTCCCGTTGGCGGTCCGAAGGCTGATCTTTGCATTCTGGACGATCAGATCCCTTTCCTCACGGGATAAATCACCGAGACCAAATAAGGTCTATACCGCAACCGGAGTCAAGCATGAGTCTCCGTACCCTCTTAATAGACTTGACAGCAGCAGCAAAGACTTCGCAAGCGCTCCGCTGAGAAAGCGTGAGCTCAAGAACACAAGCATCATTTCCTAACGTTTTGGCATCAATGTCATCGAGCAAAACCTGCTCTCGCCACAGCACAGCCTTCATATGGGCCCTTCGCCTCTCGCGAGCACTATTCAGACCACGGATATTTTCCGGCCACGAATAGCTCAAATTCCTCTCGCGATTGACGGGGCCGAAGGCCGGCTCCGGGAAAGAAGACTCTATCACGCGGGTCTCAGTGTTCCCAAATGACACTGTCTTCCGCTTGACTGACGGACATGCCATATCGAATGATGCTGCACAAGCGAATGCAAAGTCTCCAAAGGAGGATGCTGTCATTGCCTGAGGGTTGCGGCACGCCCCTCTCAAAAATCCGAGGGCGTTGGCGCCGGGCTGTCAACCCGCCTTGATGTCGGCGGGCTCAGCAGGCGCAGGAGCGGCAACAGAAGTGCTCTCAGCAGGAGCACCAGGCTTCACATGCTTATACGGACACTTATCACCTCTCGTGCAAGTTCCACGGGCATAGTAGAAGCATATGCCAGACTCCTTTGATATCGGTGACTGGGATCGAGGCGGGAATCCTTTCGGCGAGGAGCTTCTGCCCTTGAGGTTGTGAGAGAACTTACAACCGCTTCCTCGCGTACATCTGCCGTTCTTGAAATCGTAGCAGATTTCCCGCCCTCGTGGAGATCGTGATGCACGGCGCGTTGGGGCAGGAGCGGCCCTTCCCGGACTGCGCGGCGAGTATCGCCTCGGCGAACCGCGCCTCGGGGAGGATCGTCTGGGCGACGAGCGCCTCGGCGAGCTCCTTCGGTATGGACTCCCTCTTCTTGAGTCTCGGCGTCCAGGAGATCTAGATCCCCTCTTGCTTCTTGAGAAGGATCTGCGTGGGCTACCATGTGCAGGTGCAGCATACCGTCTTTGCGCAGAGGTGGATCGAGTAGCGGTGTACATCTTCTCCTGGTTGCGACGCCGGCGCCAAGTTGTAATCGCATTGACGCAGACAGTCCGCAAATACGCGTAGTTCCGGACAGACACGTCCCTGTCCCACAATTGCATATCGAGCTCGAGACAGCGGAACTCACGTACCTGCTCATAGAAGAGTGCGCAGAGAACAGGATCTTCGGGACGATCGACTGAGATACCAGCGAGAACATGATCCCACCGATTGGAGAAGGCTTCTAGCCTCTCCTGCTCGAATCCATGAGCAAACCGATCAATCGTGGTCTTCATCAGATCGACGAGCTTGAAGGTCGAATCGCCAGTGACATGTGGTCGAAGGAAATCATACAACAACCACAAGATCTGCCTACTGCCGAGTCGCCGATTTATCGTATGCATGCGCTCGGTTTCGGTCTGGATCTTATTCTTTAGTGCAATGGATTTGACGCACTCGCGGAATGCAGAGTTGCGATCATTCTCAAGCATTCCGTACTTGCACTCATCAAGAAGGTCTTCATATCGTGTACCATCGGGAATCTCAACCCACGAGAGTGCGTATCCGGGATCGTATGCGAATGCATTTGCAACTCGCTCCTTCATGTCGACGATCCAGCGCCGCAGCTGAGCGGGCTCCGGCTCGGGATCGAGTCGGAAGGACTTGCACTTCGCCTTCTTAGCCTCGCTCAGCGATCCATCGCCCTTGGGTCCACCGAATCCCGTATCGTTGGGACCGGGCGGATTCCCAGTCTGTCTCTCAAGACACACGAGACAGATTCTCAAAGATCTCGGCAACATCCGTTGCAACACGGGAATCGGCAAGATATGCACGATCGCCGCACGGTGGTCGGGAAAGTTCCGGTGCAGCGCTCGCACTGGAAAGTATCATTCCCGCTCGGCCGGCCGGAGGGCCTGATGCTAGGCGGATCAAGTCCACCATCAGGCGGGCCATTCCCGTCAGGAGGGCCACCACCACCAGGCGGGCCGCCGGGCGGGCCACTGGGTGGTCCACCGCCGCCACCAGGGCCGAAACCGGACCCGTGGTGTCCATGTCCACCAAAACCACCACCATATGCACCCCCGTTATCGTTGGGGCCACCACCACCGAAAGAACCACCGTCACCGCCATGCGCGGGCGGCGGTCCGCCTAATCCGGATGGCGCAGCACTGGATGCAGGGGCGGATGTTCTAGCATTAAAGGTGGGCATCGGAGGCATAGTCCATCCATCGACGTCATCAGTGGCAGCAGGTCGAAGTGTTCCAGTGACGCTTGCGTTCGGTGCTAGCGTGAAGGTACCAGTCTCGCTATGGAGAACAGGTGCACCAGAACCGCTGCCAATGAGATTGGATCGGCCAAGCATTGCATCATACCATCTCGAAGGTCCCTTTCCTGCCGGAACAGTTCGTGTATCATACGAAATCTGGCATGGAAACGTAGGGCTCCGCTTGGGCTCTGGAGCAAATCTCTGGGTTTCAGGGTCATAGCGGACGCCACTGCGAATGGCCAGATCATCATCGACAGGGAAGGGTCTGACACTCGGAGCTTGGCCGGATGTCGCTCCGGCGGCATTTGTGGACGGAACGGTCGGAATCGGAGATCTTCCTGAAAAAGAGGCAGACGTTTGGCCATAATTTTGTCGGACGGGCTCAACAGGATTATTTTGCCCGCGACTTTCAGGAGGATGATCATCAGCGACTCGTTGCTGCGCGCGCCTCAGAATATCATCAAGATTGACGCCACTCGTCTGAGAGTGCACCGTTGAGGCCTTTTCAGCAGGCGCAGCATTGCATCCCGGCGGAGAGCCATGATCAATCGGACCCAACAAAGAAGATCTCGGAATGGCTGTAGTCGGTCCGCCAGGGAATAGAGCACCAGGAACTGGCGGCATGTCCGCGGGACGTGGGATATCCCCATCATGGTCACTGATGTCGAAGAACTGCGTCCGTTCCGGACGCGTTAAGGCGTCGACATGTCAGAACCACCCCTGCGGACATAAGCACTCTCAAGATGCTGAATGCGAGCAGTGAGCTGATCGATAAGAACCCGGTTACTCTCCTTATGATCGTAGAGAGCACGGCTCATTTCGGTTCTAATGACCTCGATACGGTGTGTAGCATTCTGCTCAACCGTAGCGATGCGCGCCTCAGCATTTGAGATATTGATCTGAATTTGCTGCAGCGCATCAGGGTAATGCTTGATGTGGCGGATCGTCTCAGCAAGCTGCATGGATATCGATCCAGCACGCTTTTCGTTGAATCGGTGAATCCGCTCATCAAACTCAATGAATCGATCGTTGACCATCGAGTTGAGCCTCGCAAAATGCTCTTCAAGAGTTTCATGGTCCGAAATCCGCCTATCGCGGACGGAGTCCTGAAAGATCGTGTGTAGTTCACGCTCCTTCCTCATCTCGGCCTGTAGAAGCTCCCACATTTCTCGGATCTTGTCTTCAAGTGCTTCAGCAATGTCCGAGACGCCGTTCCTCAGAATATCGAGGTCGGCTTGGGTGTTGGTCACACCCTGCGCGATCGCCAGAATATCGGTGGCGATACGCGCGGATGCTTCCGACCCAATGGCTTCATCGACCAGGGCCCTGACAGCGCAGGGACCGGGAAGCCTCCCGCCGTTATCGGTGGCGGGGGCAGCACCACCATGATCCGCCGCGGTAATCGTTGCGACGGAAACATGGGGTGCACCCGGGTGCTCGCTCATGGGCTCGTCGGGGAGCGAGGCTCCACCGCGGCCTGCCACCGGCCCATAAGAATCGGGGCGCGGTGGACGAAAGGACGCCGGGTCCGAAATCGGTGGACCACGGCCGTCCAGCCCGGACCCAAAGAGGGCCCGAGCGCCCTCTGGATCCCCGCGAAGGGACAGAGGACAAGACAAAGAATCGGTCGGAAGAAGGGCAGGTGCGGAAGCAGCAGGAGCAGCGGACGCAGAAAAGGCAGGCAACAAAGGCAAAACACGAGCGGTGGCAGAAGCAGGCAGCATGCCGGCGTGCATCGTGCCAGGCGTTGCGAAAGCGGCAGCAGAGCATGGCAAAAGCGGCGCATGGTGCTGAGCTCTCTGATCGTCCTCAGCAGGCGGCGAAGCAAGCAGCGAAGCAGAGCGTGCGAGCGAAGCGTGCGAGGCGGGTGCAGTGCAGCGAGATGCGTGGGCACTATCATCGGGCTCCACGACATCCCGAGCAACTGGCGTCACTAGTGAAAGAACCGACAGTCGAGGGGACACGGGGAGAACCGATCGGAGTCGCCATTCTCTCGGTGGCGTGGCCAATCACAAGTTCCGAACTTGGTCTGAGCCAGGAAAACGGTAGTGATCAGACACTGATTGGATCAGGCGGTCCGAGTGCCAAGCAGCAGCAGCGAAGCAGCAATCCACAATCGGATGCGGAGGCCTTACGGCTGATATCCTGTGAAAAGCGGAGGATTCCACTCAACTCTCGGTCACAAAGCCCAAGGCAGCCGATCGTAGATAAAAGCAATGCAGCAGGCAAAGCAAGGATGATCAGAGTTAAAACCGTAAGGTTGACGCTCAGGTAGAAGACAGGTCCTACAACCCCCAGGCTGTAAGCGGTCTTTTCCTGGGACTCGCTAGGCGGTCCTTGAGCAGTCAAGCTGCGTAGTGAGACAAAGTCGGCCTGAATCCTAACCAGAAGGCAGAAGCACATATACGCATGTCAGTGACAAATCACAGTAATTATAACTCTACAAAATGACTACTTACTAAGTCCCCCGACCCTCCAAGTAACCCGAAAACCTGCTGAAGGCGTCCCAGAGTCGGTTCTCCTCAACCGACTGCGCTCGCGCAACTCCATGTGTGCTTGCAAAATCAGCTTCAATTGGAAGCGTTACTGGAAACTCGACGGGGACAACATTTTGAAACTTTAAAACATTGTTGACAAAGCCGGTGGCAGCGGAGAGAAGGTGTGTGACCCTAATCAACCGCCCGTCCCAGCTTGGTTGTTTTCCGATAAAAAGAACCCCATGAACCTCTTCATCATAGAATAGGTGATTTGCCGAAACTTGAAAGGACCCTAAACCCTAAACTCTGAACCCAAACAGCTTTTAGGACTGATGACGCGGCGAGGTGTAGAGTGCTACCCTTCAGCCTCGCTGAAGGATTCAGGGACCCATAAATAGGTCATAAATTCTAAGTCCCCTACTTGGCCCTACTTGGAGGGTCGCGGGAAGTAAGTAGGCAGTAAGTAGACTTGTAAGTACCCTAACTGAACCATATGGTACTTATAACTCCACCTCCAAGTAACTGATGTGACCACTACTGTAATGTAGGGGCCTTAATAGTTAGAATAAGGTTTTGGGGCCTTTAGGCCCCTATAGTACCTTTCTAACAACTATCGAGCCCCCTCTGCCCCTCGAAGTGAACCCTATGCTTGGACCCAGACCTTCCAACACCCTTAGGAATTAACCTGAAACCATAGTAGGATTCTCAATAACACTTGAGGCTGAGGTTCCTTGAGTAAGGGATGCTGGAAGGTCTGGGGCGCAGCATCTCAGGTCTTAAACCTAAACCCCAAACCCTAACATAGGGGCCTTAATAACTAGAATAGGGTTTCGGGGCCCATTACACTATAATTACAATAAGGCCCCCAAAATAGTATTGGTGACTATTTAGGCCCCTATATTACACCCTAAGCACCTCGCCGGCCCTGAACCCAACGCCTGCCTCTCTGCACGGATGATAGCGACCCGGGCCCATCATTCCTGGCAGTTCTTGCCGGGCCGGTGAAAAGCTGCCACGGGGCCTTACTTGGAGGGTCGGGGTACGTACTAAGCAGTTATCTTATAGAGCTAAAATTACCATAGCCCCAACTAGAATCCCTTTTATCGGGGCACTTATAACTCTACTTACTACCCACTTACTAAGTCCCCCGATCATCCAAGTAAGAATTGGAAAAGGGTTTGGGGTTACTTTACGGTTTGTTTAACGGGCTATAAGGGATCTATCATAGAGAAGCCCAGCCCCGCAAAACCCCGTATGAAACGCAAACAAAGGCCTAAGCCCCAGAATTACCCTGACCCTGCAACCCTGAAGCCCAACATTCCTTAAGCCTTTGAGCCCTTAACCTCATAGGGACCCTTAGCGGGGTAGGGGGAGGGGGTAGGGGGCCTGAATACCTGTTCGAAGGACTTAATAAGGCCTTTTTAAGGAAGTATAGTTTCCAACCCCCCTCCCCCTTATCCCCCTTAAGGGTACCTTGATAACACGTTCATAAACCTGCTTTCTTCTTATTCTGACGAACATTATTGCATTACTAGTAGATTACGATCATTACTAATAATGACACTTCTGATTCTTTTCCGTTTCATTACCATTTGTCATATTCATATTCGTAAGATTACTATATTGATATTCTTTGTATCATTGCTACTGCTACTGCTACTGTTACTGCTGCTACTGCTACTGTTACTGCTGCGACTACTACTATTACTACTACTACTACTACTACTACTACTACTACTACTACTACTACTACTACTACTACTACTGCTACGACTACTACGACTACTACGACTACTACGACTACTACGACTACTACTACTACTACAACAACAACTACTACTACTACTACTACTACAACAACAACTACTACTACTACTACTACTACTACTACTACTACTACTACTACTACTACACTACTACACTACTACACTACTACACTACTACACTACTACGACGACTTTTATGACTCATGACTACTCAAGGCTCCAATACCCCTTAATTGTTTAAGAAATATGCTTAAATTTATAGTAGGATCTCTAATATGGTGTAAGGTATAGTCTTTATTTGAAAGATATAAGAGTCCCTGGGTGCTAGCTTAAAAGCCAGCATGCCTGCTTTTCGCAAAAGGGGGGCGTGCATGAGGAGCTGCGTCTCGGAGATCCACTGGTGCCTTGGAAGGCGAAGGGTTTCTTACTTGGAGGGTCGGGGGACTTAGTAGGTAGGGGCTCCTTTAAAGGGGATTTTAAGTGTTCCTTTAAAGGGCTCTATAAGGGTACTAAGGGTTTAGGGTTTAGGGTTCAGGGACTTAGTAAGTCAGTAATAAGTAGAGTTATAAGTACCCTAAAAGGGACCCTTATTGGGGTTATGGTACTTATACCTCTCTAAAAAAACTACTTAGTAAGTCCCCCGACCCTCCAAGTAGGGGCTCAGTATCCTAGCCCAACAAAGGTTAACCTTGTCAATTACGTATGGTAGGAATATATAAACCCCAAAAGGTCAAATTAGGATGTCCTTAAGGGGGGGTGGTCCAAGGGGGGTAGGTAACCTAGTAATCCCCATTATTCCCCAATACTCCCTAAGCTTCCCTAAGGTTCCCCAAGGCTCCCTAGTACCCTCCCCCCTTGAACCATCCCCCCGTAAGGATCCTATAATCAAAGGTCAACTGCTCAGCTTCAGAGGTTTGGTGTTTTGGGGTTTCGGAAACCATGGGCCCCAAGTATTTGGGTTTAGGGTTTAGGGATTGGGGTGCCTTACTACTCCTGACTAGGGGCCAGGATTATAAATAAACAAATAAATATAAATAAATAAATATACATATATATGTATATATATATATATATATATCTTTATTTATTTATATTTATGGTAACTATAGTTTTCCACTTCAGTTCGGAGGTCCACTGGTGCCTCGGAAGGGCTTCCTGGGGTTTTAGGGTCGTTTGGAGTTTCGGGGTGTAGGGGTCGGGACTAAGGGTTTAGGGGTTTCGGGTTCCTTTACGGGATCTATCACGGTTCCTGAAAGGCTCTATAATGGGAGTTGAGGAGCTTCAGCGACCTCGGCATAGGGGCTTGGGCTTTTTGGGGTTAAGGGGTTCGGGGGTTTGGGGTTTAGGAGTTGAGGAGTTTGGGGGCTAAGGGGTTTAGTGTTCTTGCTTGTTTGTCTTTAAGATGTCCTGTGAACCATTTATCATCTATCTATCTGCCTATCTGCCTATCTACCTACCCATATACCTCTCTGTATCTATCTGTGAATATGTATACATTTTATGCAAAATATGTATATATATATATATATATACACAATCTCCTGAAGATATCTGTCCATGTGTCTAACGTACCCATTTATCTTTTGTACGCGTGGCGGAGTTCAGGTTTTGGGGCTCCGGGCTTTGGTTCTACCCGAAGGCTGCAAGGAGCATTCTTGGACATCCGGGTGCGCCCCCAAAAGTGTTGCGATTAAAAAACCCGCCCACGTTAAAAAGGGATTCTAATGGGGATCCTAAGTAGTATTCAATCTTTATCAGGTAGCAGTTGTAAGTTAGGGTTCAAGTGGCTCTCTTTTTTTCTTCTCTCTCTCTCTCGCCCTCTCTGTCTCTCTCTGTCTTCATGACATATAAGTCGGTATACACAAGCACATGCACAGGTTGAGTGTGTGTGAGCCCAGCTTCTCGAAGCAAGGTGCTTCCCAGGTTAGGGGACCACTCTCCCAGAGACTCCAATATCCCTTGGTTAAGGAACATACCCTAACTATGGTAGGAGCCCCCCTAAACCCTAAACCCTAAACCCTAAACCTTAAACCCTAAACCCTAAACCCTAAACCTTAAACCCTAAACCTTAAACCCTAAACCCTAAACCCTAAACCCTAAACCCTAAACCCTAAACCCTAAACCCTAAACCCTAAACCCTAAACCCTAAACCCTAAACCTTATAACCCTAAACCCTAAACCCTTTTCCTTCATCAAGGGATATTGGAGGTCTCTTGGCTTGGGAGGCGAGCTGCCTCAAGGCCCTTTTGGAGTGTCCCTCGTAGGGTGCTCTGTGGCACCCAGTCTTCGGCATCGATAAGGTTTTAGGGTTTCTGGTTTCTGGTTGCAAGGTTTAAGTTAAGTTACCATGATAAAGAAACCATACTCATCATTATACATAGATCCCTGTTACGGTAACTTAAGCTAGATTCCTTAACAAGAACCCAGCTTAAGATTTTAGCGATGTTTAAGGGACCCTTTCAGGGACCTGTCGATGCCCGCCGCCGTGCCTGAGGATGTTCATCAGGCGGGAGTGTTGACAAATTCCAAGATGCGAGCTCCCTGACGGTTTAGGCTTTAGGGTTT